AACCACAAAGGCCTTTTAGCACATTCCAGGAAAGTTCCATCATTTATATTATGCTTGTACTAAATTTTTTTAAGAGGCATCATGAAAATTCTTTGGTATGCAGATGCTACTTTGAAAGGGAAAGCCTTTGGACTATGTAGAAACATGAAATGATAGATTAGATCTCTGAGTTTAACCTGCAGAAGAAAAGGAATGTCTGTTTCTTGCTGTGAAAAATTTGCCGGTGGTTCCTCATTGGACTGATTTTTTTAATAACACTTTTAAGAAGAAGGTGACCTTTTTTTGAGGTTAAAGAGTCTTTGATTGGACTCCAAGTTATCATGTGTTTAGACTCAATTAAAAAAAAAGTTTAAAATAATTGAAACAGTGTTATGTGTCTGGGGATTTACTACTTAAAGGCATCAATGTTTCTAATACTAGATAAAGCTTCCAATTATGATTTGCTTCTGATAAATCTGAGCACAAAATGTTTGCTTTACTGCTGATTTTTGCCTCCATGCTTGAAACACATGATCTGTGTGTAGAAAACAGGTGTGTCCCACGGTGAGAATTTCCCGCTGTCATTACAGAAATACTTGCAGGCATCTTAATGTGCCTAAACTGATTAAGCTGATGAGCGTTCTCCACCACGTAATTGGTTTTGAACGCTATGATGAAATTAGAAGCCATCAAGCTTAACTCTCTACTATTAAAAAAATAAAAAGGAAAAAGGTAAAAAGAAACCTGCACCTGTTGGCTACCATGGCTGAGTTTCTGGAGAACAGGACTGTATATGCATGTCTAAGGTTGGCTTGGCTATATATTTTTTCCCTCAAAAGTAGTAAAGTTTGTGGAATTCTTAGGCTGATGTCAATGGCAAATGAGATTTAAAAACACTGGAATGTTCAAATGCTTTCTATAAATGCTGCTGTGTATTCTAGTTTGCGCAAGCTAGCCACGTCCTCAGCAATGGGGAATTAATGATAACATTGCTTCAGAAAAGCCAGGCATGCAATGGAGCCTTCTGTAGGCCTTTTAGTTTTATTATTAATGGAGAAAAGCATCCTCATCTTGCTTTAATTTTAAATATATATATATAAATTTACACAGAAAACTGATGCGGAGATGTCTTGTTTTCAAGGAAGAATCCTGCATTCTCTGATTTTTCAGTTGCACTGACAAAAGATGACTTGTTATCCAAGATACCTGGTCGTACCTCTATGCCTTGTTGTTCAGTATAGTGCTGTGTTAGGGTTAGTTTCATTGTATATCAAGGAAAATAGTCCCCTGAAGAAACTGTGTTCCTGGTAAGGATGTTTTCGCAGTTCAAATGGGGTGCAACACTCCTCCCTCAATTCTCTGTGAATATAATTAACACTAACCTAAGGAAATATGTTGTTTGCTCTGCATTTTCTCCTCAATATGTTTGCAGTGATTTACATGGGCTATATGGGAACTCACTTAACAAAGTAATAACAAAAAGATAAATCTCTGCTACCAGTGGACAAAACCCAGTAGTGTTTAGAAAATATTCACCCTTTAAAAATGCTGAATTATAAGCGTCCTTGAGTGTTTATCAGGCCCCTGAACTAGCAGCCCTTATGCATGTGCTCACCTCTCAGCAGAAGCCTTGGCGTGTTCATATTCAATAATTTTCATTGTGTTTTAGTACTTCAGTTAGGAAGTTGCTTAAAACTGAATTTTATCCTCTCATTTCTCTCTTAGGAATACTACTGCTCCCATATCTTATTTGGTAAGAGTTGAGAATTCTTTTTTAATCATGTCTTTGATTATTTTTTTCTTTTCCTCTTGAATTGTTCTCCTAGATTGACTCAGTTGAGAATTTTACATTGTCTAATACTCCATCGCGGGATGAAGATAGCAAGTCTCACCTCCATTCAAGATCCAGGTCTCCTTCTACAGCTAGTGAGATTGAACCAATTGAGGTACTTAAGCGTTGACAAATTTGTGTCTCTTTTTTTAGGAGTAACGGTTTCACTCACAGAAGTTGCTATTGCAAATACTTTTGTTTAGAATGAAGCTCACGGCTCTGCAGAGACACTAGGACCTTGTGATAGCCTTTTGCACTAGCAGTGGACTGTATTTTAGGGAATGTTGCATTTCCTTTCCCATATGGCTAATTGATCAGGGATGGGAACTATGAATCAATTATTAGATACAGTCTCTCTTTATAACATAACCTCAGTCACAGAATCATAGTATCAGAGAATGGTTTGGGTTGGAAGGGACCTTAAAGATCATCTAGTTCCAGCCCCCCTGCCATGGGCAGGGACACCTGCCCTAGAATTTTGCACATCATTTTGCTGAGAAACAAGATTTGGTTTTCTGAGTCCTTCCCTGTGTTAATCAGTTTGGTTTCATTGCTTCTGTGTTTGGAGATGGGGTGGGTGGGACATTGTAGTCTTTTTACTTTATTCAAGCTGTCTTTAATAGTGTGTATTTGATGTCTTATTGATCCTGTGTGAACTATGTTCAGGTTACAGATCTTCCTCCCCGTTCAATTCACACACCGACCATGAGGACAACGTATATTGGATCAGGACTCTCTGCACCAAAGGTATTCAGTCAAGCATTTCCACTTCATTTATAGTAAGAGGAAAAATAACGCTCGTGGGCAACAGCTTCAGGAGAACTGTTTATCACAGTAGTCTTACCACTAGCCTAGAGGGGTTGTTTAAATGCAAGCTGGTTGCTTTCTAAAATTTAAACCCCCATATTCTTGCATTGTGTGGTGTGACAAGTTGTACTGGGCATTCCACTGTAGCAGCACACAGGCATTTGATTATAGGAAAACAGTGGTTTGGACATTAGGAAGAAAGAAATGAACCAGAATATGAAGAAAGGAAAAGAGACTTCCTAGAAAGAGAGCCTTTCCAGCATGTGTCTGACCAACCTGCCTCTGTCCTCTGCATACAATAATACCAATGGGCCAGCCTCTAATTAGCTCATCTGTGCTAATTAGATGCATAGTTTTTGAAAAAAGGCAAGGAGTAAGACTAAAATGAAAACAGAGATTTGCATTTTTTTCCAAACAAAGCAGAGCGAGCACTACAGCCAGCACTGCAGCAGTGGGCTGGGAGAAAGAATTCCAGTTTTCCTCTCTTCTGGCTTTTTACTTGCATAAATACTGATTTCATATCAGTTGTTGAAATTCATTTGCTGTTGACCAAATAAGTCACGTCAGTGTGATTTGCAGTGAATTGAGTATATTCAAGGAAGTGAGGAATAAGGTACAAGCTACTAAAGCTACTAAAGGAAAAAATTTTCTTATAAAAGTTTCAGAAGTGCCTCAATGGCTTAGGAATCTTATGTGTATTTAAAGTAAATGACAGTGTTTCTGCAACTAACCAGTGGAATAAGTAAATCTTTGTAAGAGAAATATGTTTCTCTGTTGTGATAAATGGCAAAATAGCAAAAGACTTCATTTGTGTAAAGGCAAGCAAGAAGGTTTGAGCAGTGTTCTGTTGGCAACACCCTAGTGGATCCATTAAAATCATACAGTAATTGCACGTGAAACAGATTTTACTGTGCACATCACTTCATTTTTGCAAATATTTTGCTCAGTGAGTAATGTTTGGCTTTCTCATTTATTATGTTCCCTAAAGAACCTTCTTACTTTATGATTGCATCAGTTTTTAAAGCTAAGTATTGTTTCCCTGCAAGTTTCAAAACAAGACATCCGTCTCTAGGCAGAAAGCCACCATTGTAACAGTAAAACTGTCATTAAATATGGATGAAGTTTGAACCCTTAGCTCTGATATCTTATGCTGTGAAAAACAGGGAAGGGAATAAAACTTTAATACACCTACTCATTAAAGCAGTCTGCAAAATTGTCCTATTTCAGATCACGTACATTATCTGGGTCGCTTGTTGGGACAGCCTTTGTGTTCACTCTGTGCTCTGCCCTTTCTCTACCTGCCCCTTGGTAACTTCATTGTGAGATTTTTTTTAGAAAAACAAAGCAGCTTCCTGAATTTTACACGAGGCCTTTTATGAATCATAGTACTGCATTACGTAGTCATTTAGCCTTCATATCATAGCATCAGCACTGCCATCCTTGAGGGGAGAGAGAGAATTAAAACACTTACTCACATAGTCTACGTTCCCAAAAACTAACGAGAAGCAAAGCCCTTTCAAAATCAACTTCATCTATACTCTGGCTTTTAAATTGGGTGTTCTGGAATTATCTGTGCCTGGCACCATAAAACTGAACCCTGTCATGCTTTCTGGCATAGAAATTAGAATTTTGGAAAAGTCTGATATTTTTCTTTGAACTAAGGCAACGCTCCTTACAGAGGAGCACTGAATTTCCAGCTTGGAAAATACTGGGGTGGGTCACCCTTGGCTGGCTTACCAGGTGCCCACCAAGCACATCCGCACACACGTTCAGCTTCTAGAGTGTAACGGAATCAGTTTGGCAACTTTCCTATCTGCAGGGGAAGAAAACTCATGTTCTGAGACAAGGTCCAGTTTCCATGGTTTTGTTTACAGAGGATGGTTTAAATTATCAGTAATGAGCACTGATAAGGACCTTTTTTCAGCCTGTGTGTTAGGAGCTCAGATGGCATTGCAGCAAGCACAAATAAGCTGCCTTTTTAAATGCACTTATGCACTCAACTGTTCATCAGAAGTGTTACAGGTATTAACATTCTGCTCTGCTTGTTTCACAGCCTAAAGCCCACCAGTTTGTAGTGAAATCCTTTAATACACCAACAAAATGCAATCAGTGCACATCTCTGATGGTCGGTTTAATACGACAGGGCTGTACTTGTGAAGGTAAGCACTTGTGAAAGCGGGAAATGTGAACTGAACTTCTTAGAGATGTAAATTGCACGGTAAATGTTGTGGTGTGATAGTGAATATAACAGTCCTCTGTTTATATTTTGAATAACAGATTATATGCTCGTGCTTCAGTCTTTTAGCGGTGGAAGCCAGGCACTTTGAACATCCTGCTTAACAGATTACCTAGTTATCTGGGGACACTCTTACTGCAGTTGGTGGTAGAAGAGCTTAGTGCAGTTTACTGAAAATAGCAATAAGAGACCACGTTCAGTGCTCGTGTGCTAACAGCAGCTTTGCTTTCTGGGTCAGGGCAAAACTGTAGGCCGCTTTTGCCATTCGGTACCAATTTTGCTTCTTTCCAGGACTGAGTTATTCTGGGTTTGTATGTACACAGAATGACACTCATCATTTAAAGGAGCTTCCAGCTTTTGGTTTACTAGTAGAGTTGGTCCTAGAGGAAATCATAGATATTATGGCAATATGAGCTTCTGATCAGGCTCTGTGTTACCTGGATGAAACCAGGCTGTGTGTCCATTCACCTCTGAAAAGAATAAAACCACAATTTAGAGCAGATAAAAGCATGAACTGCTGCTATGCACCGACCTACATTTCTGTCTCGGTGTGGCAAAGGCAGCGAAACCGTTCAGTTGTTGGTCCAAAGAAGAGAGGATTCCTTCATAAATGTCACTGTCGTTACCATAGCTCTTGCACTGCACAAGAAATCATCTAACCATCTGCAACCATCTACATTTGTTTGTTTCTTCTCCTCTTTACAAGTATGTGGATTCTCTTGCCACGTGACCTGCGCAGACAAAGCTCCAGCAGTATGTCCAATCCCTCCCGAACAGACTAAGGGACCTTTGGGAATAGATCCGCAGAAAGGCATAGGAACAGCTTATGAAGGACATGTCCGAGTAAGTATCAGGTAGCTGCGTTTGGGGCACTGATACGAAATGTGTTGTTTTCTGGAGCTGGAATTAAATGAGGTGTCAAGGGGGAATGGATTCAATTATACCTTAAGGTAACGGTTTGGAAACGGAGACCTAAATTTTCAGGAAGCATCTCTTAGCATTTTCAACAGTAATTCTCTCTCCATCTCTCACCCTTTGTGCTTGAGATGATCTTGAATGGTCCATCTCTAGAGATCGGATCATCTTCCAGGGCCTGTGAGCTTTTGAGGCTTTCTGCTGGGCATACCTGTATGTTAAATACTAAAGGAACTACTCGACATAGTTTTGGCCATGTTTCTGTTGACCGACTCGAGATGGGTTTCTTTCTGTATATTTGTTAACATAGCTTTAAATGAGTTTGTGAAATAAGAAGAAAGAGTCTGTGTGGCTATGAGTTTTTAAATAATGTATCGTGGGGGCTGTGTTTGATGCTCTTACTGCACCTGTGCTATTGCTTGTGTTGCTTAACGTTATCACTGAATAAAAGCTTGTCAGTCTAGATGAGAGAATTGATTTTTGTGCCATCTGTTTGATTTTTAATTGAATGAAAACTTAGAGAGTTGATCAGAATTTATTTTGCTAAAGGTACCAAAACCAGCTGGAGTAAAGAAGGGTTGGCAGAGAGCGCTGGCAGTGATCTGTGATTTTAAACTCTTCCTGTATGATGTAGCAGAAGGAAAAGCATCCCAGCCCAGCGTGGTAGTGAGTCAGGTCATAGACATGAGGTAAGCTGTTTGGTGCTGAGTGGGAGATTTTTCAGAGGCACTGGGAGGGTTTTTTTTTTCCCTGCTTTTCCTTTTTGTGAAATCAGTAAGCAAGCTCCAGAGCTTTTGTAAGTCACTGTAATCCATGTCAAGAGCCTCTAATTTGCTGGGGAAAAAGCAGTGTTTGCAGTTAGCCTGAACTCCACTTTTGTGTTCACATGTGGCAATTTAAACTTCAATTGCTACATCTTGTGCCAAAATGCATCTGTTCAGCTGTGTAGAAGAACTGGAATGAATAAAGAAGGAAAATACACTCTTTGGGGGTTGAATGGGGTTTTGAAAGACTGATAGAACTTTGTTATAGGATAAAACTAATACAATTTTTGATTCAGAAAGGCTAAATAGTTTGTTCCCACTGTCTTCAGTATTACTGAAATACCAGCAACTTCACTGAAGGCTGAGAACATTTACTGTACCAACTCAGTAAAGCTCATCTCTGAACTGCGTTAGTTTGTCCAGGAAGTCTCAAACAGCTATAGCTTATAGTTTCTAGTGAGTTTGGATTTTTACGGAAGAGTTGGAGAGGTGTCGTTGGCCCAGGCTTATTTTTTAAGTTTGATTTTGGGGTTTTTTTTGAAAGGTTTTAATTTAAAGAGGAAAAAAACCTGACCAGATACTCTAAATAGATTTATCTCCATCAACATTTGTCAGCAATTAATTATATAATACTGCATTTATGAGTTTCATCTGCAGATAAAGAGGAAAGGATAATTTTAAAAATTAGATCTCAGTGCTGCCTTGTAGGCTATTGGTACTAAGGAAATAAAAGTAAAAAACCAAATACATAGATTTAGCTCTCTTTAACTCTTTTCCAATTATGTTTATGGCTCCACAAGGGATGAAGAATTCTCAGTGAGTTCTGTCTTGGCCTCAGATGTCATCCATGCAAATCGAAAAGATATCCCCTGTATCTTTAGGGTAAGTATTACATCTTGAATAGCCCAGAAGTACAGAGTTTCACAGTGTGATGTACGGTGTACATTCACTGGCAGCTCGCTAGTATTTTATTTCCTTCGCAAGATCTGGCCGTGTGGTATCCATGGCAGCAGCAGCAGTGCGTAAGGATCCGTACACTGGTACATTTAAACAAGCTCTCATCTCCCCTTCACGTGGGGTGTTTTGGTGGGTTTTTTAACCTTCACAATAAGACACAGTTTTCTGAACCTCCTGTTAGTCATTTGGAATTCTTCTGCTCTTAATGACCTTCTATATTTTCCTTTCCTAAAGTTGCCTTTTGCTTCTCAGTTCAATTTGTTGTGTCACTGCTGAAACCTTTATATATTTTCTTTGTATGTGTGCACTGGATCTCTGAAAACTCCCAATCATCAGGTAGTCAGTGTAGAAATCTAGGGTAAAATATTCATCAAAACTTGTCTATTATCTGGTATCAGGATTTTGCCATCATTGTCTTTTTCTAATATTATTTTTACTAGATACTCTGTTGAAGCTTCGACCTCAGTGAACTCTCTCTGCTGTCTTATTAATTCTCTTATCCTTTATTTACCATACCATTATATTTCACTCCTTGTTTTTCCGGCTTTCAGACTATTCATCACTGTGTGCTGAGAAGAGAGAAACCTACAAAAGGGGCTTTCATTTTTATCTGTAATAGCTGTACCAAATACATGAGAAGGATCATAGATCACTCTACCATAAAAACCATCCCTATGGCATTAAATTATTAACAGAAACTATTGGTCTTTAAAAAATTACAGAATACTTTGTTAGAAATGCTTTTCATTATAACATTGCTGTGACAAACTGATGCCTACCTTAGGAAGGGCAGATATTTCCATATTACAGAACAAATATAAATACATTTAGAATAAAGACACAGTTTTCTCAGTTCTCTTGAGTTATTCACATCTACAGGTTTTTCTGCTGCGGGTTCTTGATTGCAGTATGGCTAAATTTTTGCATTCTTAGTTCAGACAGCTAATTAAAAGGGCGCTTGTAGTCATCCCTTGTAAAAATGATCATGCAGATTTTTTTTTATCCCTTATGACTTAAAATACATATTTTAAATTTTTCCAGGTCACAGCGTCCCAGCTCTCTGCATCAAGTAATAAGTGTTCCATCCTGATTCTAGCAGACGGTGAGAATGAAAAAAGCAAGTGGGTAGGAGTGCTGAATGAATTGCATAGGATCTTGAAGAAGAACAAGCTCAAAGACCGCTCAGTCTATGTTCCCAAAGAAGCTTATGACAGCACCTTACCCCTCATCAAAACGACACAGTCAGCAGCAATCATAGGTATGAAATGAAAAAGAAGAAAGCTCTAAGAAAAATATGGCTATGCTAAAGCATGCTTTTTTTGCAAAACCATGTTAAATGGCGTCATCTACTGACTAGAGCCTAATATGTAGTGATTTTCTCTCAAACCCACTTCCATATGGGATAAGTGCAATTCACTGCCCAGTACTTTTGTCAGATGTTGAAGAATATTCACACATATTCATACTTATGAATAATTTTGACCGAGAACTGGACATTACTCTTCTGTTACTCTGTAAATATAATTCCTTAATTCTGTAAATATAATTCCTTAACTGGGCAAAATTAGCACTATAGAACAGCTGTAAATCAGTTGTGGTCCCAGAGAGAAAACATAAAAGCAGAGAATTAATTTGGTAATTTTAAATGCTACTGCGTAAAATGTATTAAACTTGGCTTATTTATATTATTTAAATATGACATTACAGTTATTTCAAAGTCAGTACTACCCTTAAGTGCTCTGAATAGTTTGTTAAAAATTATGTTTCTTCACTTTACTTATGCTAGCAGGAGAACTGGGAAAAGACATCAATTTTTTCTGAAACTGGAAAGATTGGGGGTTACCAATGTTGGTTTTCGTTACATGAATGTGTTGGGTTTGGTTTTGTATTTGTTTATTTCAAGATATTAAAACCCTGTCTCTGTTAATCAGAATTATCACTATTGTTGAAGAAGTATTTCCAAAGACAAATAACCTTTTTTTTCTTTTTCCTTAATATCGTAGACCATGAAAGAATAGCTCTGGGGAATGAAGAAGGGTTATTTGTTGTGCATGTCACCAAAGACGGTAAGAGATTAGGAACTGGTAATAATTTGGATAATAAATAATCAGAAAGTGACTTCGTAACCTTTTTACTCTTTCAATATCCTCTGGTTTCATTTTTCTTGATATACAGTATTGTCAGCTGGACAGCCCCGTGTGAGAGCTGGTAATGAAGAAGGTGTCCTGTGTGCTTTCTGTTTCGGTTATCCTTTCCAGTAATGCAGATCCAGCTTCTGGAATGCAGCTGGAGGTTTTGTTCCCTTGTCTGACACAGGCTCAGTACTGAATTCAGACCAGGTTGCTCAGGGCTTTGTCCTGTTGGGTCTTGAAAATCCCCAAGGATGGAGGTTCCACGGTCTCTCTGGGCTGCCTGTTGCAACATTTTCTTTGTATGTCCGGGTGGAGCCTCCCCCATGTCAATCTGTGAGCAGTGTATCCCCTTCTCCTGCTGTGCGCCGCAGTAAGGAGCCTGGCTCGGTCTTTCCTGTAACCTCCTCCTTGGTGTGGGAATGACAACTTCTGTTCAGCGCTGTGGAGTGACGTAAGGACAGGTGCCCAGGCTAATTCAACTAGCAGCGTGTTTAGTTCTGTGTTTCAGCTCTTTGGGGGTTTTCCTTTATTCACTACTTTTGCAGCTATAAACTGTTTTTTTAAATGAATACTGAAATAATACAGTGGCTGTTATTGATGGAACTGCTCCTTCCTTCTTCTGACAAGGAAAAGCCAAAGGTCTATCCAGCATTGCCACATCTGGTATTCTTAAAATACAGGTGTTGATTCTGTGCTTTTTTTAATATTGCAGAGCAGCAGTAAAGGGGATTTCTTGGGTTTACTTCGTAGTTTATCTTTACAAATACTTATGTGTTAATTAATTCACATTTCAGCATTATTTACTTGGATTTGGGGCGGGGGGGGTTGTTTTGTTTTGTTTTTTTAGAGATTATCCGTGTTGGTGACAATAAGAAGGTTCATCAGATTGAGCTTATCCCAAACGAACAGCTCATCGCAGTAATCTCAGGACGAAACCGTCATGTGCGGCTTTTCCCTATGGCTGCCCTGGATGGAAGGGAGACTGAGTTTTATAAACTGGCGGAGACAAAAGGCTGCCAGTCAATAGTTTCTGGACATGTGCGCCACGGAGCTCTTACATGCCTGTGTGTAGCTATGAAAAGGCAGGTCCTCTGCTACGAACTGAATCAGAGTAAGACACGTCACAAAAAGATCAAGGAGATCCAAGTCCAGGGGAATGTCCAGTGGATGTCAGTCTTCAGTGACCGTCTTTGTGTGGGCTACCAGTCAGGTTTCTTAAAATATCCCCTCCACGGAGAAGGCAGCCCATACAGCCTGCTCCATCCAGATGACCACACGCTATCATTTATCTCGCAGCAGCCAACTGATGCCATCTGTGCAGTCGAAATCTCAAATAAAGAATACCTGCTGTGTTTTAGCAGCGTAGGTGTTTACGTTGACTGCCAGGGCCGAAGATCTAGACAACAGGAATTGATGTGGCCAGCAACTCCATCTTCTTGCTGTAAGTTGCCGTGCGCGTCGGTGTCCTTGCTATTGTACGTTGAAGTGATCGCTGCTTGTGTGAATGCCTGCAGGAAATGAAGGTCAAGGATAGTTCCCTGACAGGTAAATGAATGCTCTCGGCTTCCGTCAGTGTTTTCAGTCTAGTCAGAGGTTTTAATCCTGGTCTCATTTACGCCAGTTTTGACATGTCTGTCACTGATCTGTACTGCCGTAGCACAAAGAGGAATCAAGGGTCAGGATTTCTCACTCTGATGTCCAGGTTCTAAACACATGGCCTGACCTTTACAACAGCTGAAAGCCTCAGGTCCTGTGGAGGTTAAAGCATTCACCGCCACTGATAACTGGACTGTTGTTAAAGTCTTAAAATTTGATTGGACTTTGGCTCAGCACTGTGATTTAAGCTTTCTTGATGTTCAGAGTCAGCAGGATCTGGTAGCTTGGTTTTCCTCTAGGTAGGTTGTTCCTACTTCTTGGGTTCTTTTTTCCTTACTCCTTCATTCTTCCTTCCTCAGCAGGTTTTGTTGACACCCTTCTCATTCATGTCCTCTCTTTGCTTTTTAAAAAAAATTCAGGTTTCAAGTTTTTCCCCATTTGTCTCCCTCTTCCCTTCTAAAATACAATGTATGGCAGGCAGCAGAGAAAATATATTTCATCCTCTTATGGAGAAAAATACTGTAATTTTTCAAGATTTCAGTTTCCAGCAAGAACTGTGTTAAACATTTTTTGCATGTTTTTCAAAGCTGGGGCTTTATCTTTGTGACAGTTGGAGGAAAAGGAAAAAGCCAACTGCCCATCTTCTTCCTTTTAATGTCTTTCTGAATGCAGATAAAGATTAGCTGAATTTGTCCTCCGCAGATCTGTGAATGAGCCCAGTCTTAGGTTGATTTTTAAAATAGTCTGTCTTCTTACCTTCTTGCCTCACTGTGCCTGCGGTACAGTCACACTGCAGGGAGGAATGTTTCACCTCGTTTGAGTAAAGCCCCTTCTGAATGTGGAAGGAGCAGCTTTTACAGGCTGCATGTCACTTCTGGTTTTCAAGGAGTGCAGTTATTACAGTGGACTCGGAGAATTAATCAATCAAAATAAAATAGTCTGTGATAGATTGAAAAACAGGCATTTTCCCAGGTAATTTGTTTATAGTGGTCATTGATACTTGTGAAAGGTTTTTGAACGTAGTGACTTGATGTTACTCCAATTCAGAATGGAGCTATATTTTGTATCAAAACCTGTCACATTTAAACACAGATTGGATGCTCTTGTTAGTCTTGGCAGACCATGGCAGTCTTGTTGCCAACATGGAAATACTGAATTCTCCTTTAGAGGTAGTCCCAGTGGAACAAATTTCATCCTGGAGGAACGTGCCAGATAAGTAGCACAAGAATTCTCTTTACAATCCAGGAAATAAGAACAGAGTATTAAAGCTAAAAGGAAACATGAAGATTTTTATGACTGTGTCATGGTGCTTAGTTCACAATGATGTTCATTTAGTACATAGTCCAAAGGCTAAGAGCTGGGTTCAGTAATGACAGTTATTAAAGAACAACAATGTGTTTTCCTACCACATTATTTACAAAATACAAGCTCTTAAAAATAGGGCTTTTAGAAGAAAAAACCTGAATCACATCAGTGTTTGGTAAACTGTAATAATCCCTTGTAGTTCAAAAAGTAGTTTGATTCTGCAAAGTTAAAAGAAAAATCATTGAGGTTTTAGGTTTTTTGATGGTGGTTTGCCTTCAGAATAAATTTCTTAGCCATTTCTGAGTTAAAATACATTTTGCAAAGATTGTTGTTGGATTGTTGGGTGGTTTCTTTTTTTGATAAATATGGTTAGACCATAAGAAATTGTCACAGATGGGGCTAAAGTATACATGACATGTCTTTGACCCTGACGTGACACTGTACCTAATCATTACCTCTCAGGTTACAATGCACCATACCTCTCTGTGTACAGTGAAAATGCAATTGATATCTTTGACGTGAACTCCATGGAGTGGATTCAGACTATTCCTCTCAAAAAGGTAACTTGCTGTTTCAGTATCAGTTAAAGAATATGTCTAAACTCACTACTGCTTTGCTACAGTCACACTGGGGTTTTTAAGCACATTGGAATCCATCGTTAAAGCTGCTGGTTTAAAAATACTTGAACTAAAAGAAGAGCTACTGCAAAGAAACCAGTGCTTTTTGTTCAAAATACATGACGTGTTTTGCGTGTGGTGTCAGTGTTTCTGATGAATGTCCAGGCTGGAGCATATGACTATGTTTGACTTAGTGAGGGTACTGTAGAGAGCAGTTTCTTGGGATTTGAGCATATGGCTTCACTGGGACTGATTGCATCTATCTTATTGCCTGAAGATGTTGGGTATTAAACAGGTGGATAATTAAACAGGCCTTCAAAAATCTGTCTTCTGCTGCTTGAGAACATTGTGGACAGATAGGGTTAGAACATTTTGGTTCAACCAATGCAAACATTAAAATGCAGGTTGATGTCATGTTTGGATCACTTATCAAAAGGCAGAAGTTTTTGAAAACTGACACTTCCTTGGTTTTTAGGAGGTGTTTGCTCAGCTGTATTTGGAAAGAGAAAAGCATGTCGTGTGTGTGCGCACACACACACCCCCACCCACCCACCCACCCTAGCTTAGACTCACTTCAGCTTTGTTTTAGTGTCAACATAATTCCTTTGCCTGGCATTCCAGTGACAAAGAGCTACAAGAAATGTCCTTGTGGTCTTGTGTCGGTCATTCAGGCTTTCTGCATCTCAGTTTCCCACGTTAGATGCAGACCAGGATATGATAGCAGTGGTGTAAGGATAAATAATACAAAGGTCAAGGTGCTCAGCTATTAACCATCTTAAGGAGAGAATAATAATCTGGCCTTTCAGGGGAAATTTCCTCTACTCTTTCTGTTGTCCAAACTTTGAGTTATTAAGCAGTTGGAGTATTTTTTTTTTTCCCTTACACAGCAAAATGTGATTTAGTGCTTTGATTAATATTTGGCTCAAAACTGCCCATTTGATGCGTGAAGCTACTTTCAACAAACAAGAATTGCTACATCTAGGAGACTCAAAAATGGCAATTTGTTGTGAAGAGTTTGTTTCTAACACAATTTGCAGACTTGGAGAGTGGAATGCTTCTTTCATTTTAAAGTTGGAAACCACAAATACCAGTAGGTTTTAGCAACCTGGATATACTCTTATCAAGCTGCAAAGCATAATTGTGACAAGATACTGCCACAAAATAAAAGCACGGCTTACTGCTTTGTGCATCTGGTAGACAAAATTGAGTTGTGACGGGAAGTAGACTTCTAACAGAACTATTTATTTAACTGCTGGGAGAAACGGTGTTAAGCCTATGTCTTTAGGTAGAATTTTAAGCAACTCCCTCTACTTGTTCTCCACAGAGAAGTTTAAAGCGTGGAATTGTTTTTAACTCTGCTTCGTGGCTTTAATGACTGACAGTCGCTATTCCTGAGAGCAGGCACGTGTTACTGGAGATGGGAGACACTGCTCCCTCCAGCCTGCAGCTCCTCTGTGGGACAGGGTTTGCTCCGGACAGTTACGTTCTTCTGCTCCCTGGTTGGCTTTAAACAGTGCTCCTTTCATCGAATCTGTAATGCACCTTGGAGCTCCCAGAATAAGATGCAGTATATAAATGTGAGTTGTTTCTATTACAAGGTCTGATCTTCCTTGTTTTAGGTACGGCCCTTGAATACAGAAGGATCACTAAACCTTTTAGGCCTGGAGACAGTTAGATTGATATATTTCAAAAACAAAATGGCAGGTAAGTAAAGAGAAGGGAATTTTCATCATGCAAATTTTTGTTTAGAAAGAGCATTTTTCTTTGGCCTGCATCTGCGTATTGTAGAAAGTTATCACTGAAACTTACGGGTGCCTGTTAGTTTGGGAGAAAACGAAAGCTTATAGATTTCACAGGGACTGAAATCATGTGTCCTAGGCAGCTACTCTGAACTTTCTTTTTCCCCTTTTGAATATTCAGTGAAGATTGGAAATAGAAAAGAGAATGACTAGACATTCCCTGCAAATCTGGGATCTCCTGTCAGAAGGCTATCTAAAAATGCCTACGCAACTAAAGGCTTCAGTAGTGTTCTTGGCAGTACTGTATTAACATTGCTATTAGGCTTAACCTAAACAGACCTTTCCGAAGGATCAGAAAGTAATATAATATGATGTATTCATAACGTTATTAGAGCTACATCTGAAGTTTCAGCTTCAGAACTCTGCTTTTGTTATGACTCTTTCAGACCTTTTTTGTTGTTGTTGTTTTTAGAGTCCAAGCTCCTGAGTCATTTCCTTAACCTTTCTTCAACCTCTTAGGTGGAGAGGGGATGTGCTTTGTTAAACAATCAAAAGCTGTATTTTTTTTTAACTATTCTGAAAATAGTGGAAGTAAAGACCCTAGAAAAGTATATAACTGCTGGTAGTGTTTCAGTGTCTATTTAAATTGCAATCAAATTAGTACAAAAGGAAGGACAGTGGTAGAGAGGAGCAATATGGTGGAAGTGCGCATAAAGGATTTTCAAGTCTAATAAAGACTGAACACTAAAAGTAGAGCAGAAGAGAAAAAAACCCAAACCTGGAGAGCATAGGATCAGAAGTGAGTGAGGCTGATGCTTTGCTCCTGTGCACTTCTCGGTGTCTCTCAGAAAAGATTGCCAAACAGTGAAGTGTCGTTCATGTGTATCTCCTTAAAAGCCTGCCAGATTTTTTCCTCAAGCTACTTACCTAGTAGATCCCACACTTCATGCAATCTCCAGCTGATCTTAAGGAAAGCATAGATTCCGGTTCCACACAAAAACTGTTTTGGCAGGGAGTGGTAGGTGCTGGGTATGTTGAGGTTTATTGGTCTCCGTATTTATAAAACAAGACGGAGCAGTCGCCGTTCTTGCAAAGTAACGCTCCTGTTGTCTGAGTGTCGCTGCTAGACGTTTCGTGTCTTTAATAAAGATGCCTTGGCCAGACCTATGCACGTGGAAAAAATCATCCTTTGTCCCACAGTTGCACCCAAATGCGTCAGTGCTCGGACATTTCAAAAGGAGTAGTTTTCTTTGGAGCAGGGAATGTTGCCTTGAGTTTCCAGGTGACCGGCGGAACAAGGCTGCTCTAGTGATTTTCAGTGAGAACTGCCAAAGAAGGTTTGGGATGGAGGACTGAGATGCTTTCCTGCCCACCTAAATATTTTGCATGAAAGAATTAATCAGTGGTATTTTGAGAACGTGGTTGTGGCAGCTTGTGTGTGGAGGAGGGTTAAGTCTGTGGCTATATAACAGATAGAGACCAAGAAAACCCATTGATCTAGGAGCATTTATTCAGGTTTGATGGGAAATGGGTGGTGTCCTACACTAGGAAGAGCAGAGGGAAATGTCTTTGACTTCAACTGCCACAGACACCTAATGCAGTGTCCCAGTGCATCATCCTATTTCAATTTATTGCAGAGGGTGATGAACTGGTAGTTCCCGAGACATCAGATAACAGCCGGAAGCAAATGGTTCGGAACATCAACAACAAGCGCCGTTACTCGTTCAGAGTACCAGAGGAGGAGAGGATGCAGCAGAGGAGGTCTGTATTCACCATGTACTTGTCTTCCATACATGCCTGTAGGCCCTGAAGGACAGCGGGTGATGCCGATGTCGTACTTCATTCGTGGCTTTCGGGAGTGCCCATTCAGATGTTTGTGTCTCTTCACTGCCGCCTTAATCCTCAGTGTTTGGTTTGTGTTAATACCAATGTGGATATGCACTGGATACACGAGTAGCCAAAGTTCAAATTAATTATGTGCAACAGCTGTAATTTGGAATGCATGCCTCCACGTACTGTGTATAGGCACGTAGGTGTGCACCTGTGCTGTGTGTGTAAAGATCTGCAATAAACACTTTGCAAAAGGAGATGACATGGCTAACTATGCATATGGATTAATTACTTCCAGACTCTGGTTCTGCTTCTCTTTCTGAAGGCAATTCTACTCTCAGCAGTATATTTCAAAGCTTCTGCTTTTTTGACTTATAGATTTAACTACACAAACATTCCATAAATCTCAGAAAACTCACCTCTTCCGAGGACATAGGACTGCAGGATGTGTTTCTAATAGAAGTCTCTGACAGGTCACCAATACTTTCCTAAATGGCAATACCAATAGGTCTGCACTACTCAGGGTTCACAGAGGATGTTACTGACCATTTACTATCACTCACTAAAGATGACCTGCTGCTGTGCTAAGCTGCACTCCAAGAACTGAGTGTTTCAGTTTTCTAACGTCCAACGTCTTCCACCGATGGTTGGCTCCCAGCTTTCCTTCCTTTTTGGCTCTAAGAAAAGTAACAGCTGTGTACAGTGGAGATAAAATTCCAGTTCTTGTCCTTGCTTTTCTGAGCTGATGGCGGTTTGGTCTTTTAAAATTTGATTTATTCTGAGTTCTGAAATGCATCCTTGCCATTTTGAAGAGCTTTTAATTCTGACCACAGACTGAGAAAGGTACTGCAGTATTATTTTAATTCTATTTTTCATATTTGCGCTTCATTTCCATCTCCATTTTGTAATACATCACAAGTGAGTTCTGCTTTTCCTCATCTTACAGAGCTTTTTATCAGCACATAGTGTTTATATATTCTTTGAATATTAGTAACTACTGGGCACAGGCCGTTCGCCTGCAAACAGTATTCTGCTGGCCCCATGCCCTCTTTCCAAGCTGGAAGCTTGTCCATGCCAGTGCCGAGAGCAAGGGTTTATCGCTGCTGACATGGTTAAATAGTTAGTTTCCATTTAAAACTAGCTGATAATCAAAGCTGTGCTTGTTTTATAAATGTCCATCCTCACCTCGCAGGAGGTATCTAAACAAGGTATTTTTCTTCCAGGGAGATGCTCCGCGATCCGGAAATGAGAAATAAATTAATTTCTAACCCCACTAATTTTAACCACATAGCACATATGGGTCCAGGAGATGGTATTCAGATTCTCAAAGACCTTCCAATGGTAAGTACCGAAGTACATGTGAGAGTGACTGACTGCAGGAGGCTGCACATTAGTGAGAGAGAGCCAAGTGCGGTGTTAACTGTGTATTCCGCGTGTGGAGGCATCAGGAGCAGTGTGACTGGGGAAGTGGAGCTGGACGTGCCCTGCTCTGTGTGACAAGATCGAAGCAAAGAGGATGACGCTTAAGCGCTGCAGAGAGGAGGAGGCGTGGCTAATGCCTCCTGGGTTTTAAGGTTGGCTTCTCAGTCTTGCTGATAATTTTTATGACCCATGTGAAGGGACAAAATTAAGAGGATTTGGGCCTGTGATCTTTGTGGGAATGGAAAGAGAAATTCCTTTTCTGTGAACTGTATTACTGTAAGTTCAATTCCTTCCTTCTTTTCCCATCTTCAGCTCCAGCTTAGCCTCTCTCTTTACAGCCTCTTCTCCTCAGGCAGTAGAACTGTAGCAGTTGTAGTGCCCAAATTTCTTTCCATGCCAAAGCTGCTAGTTTTCATCTCCTCTTCAAATTAACTAGTCTCGATGGAACAGAACTTCTTCCACAAAAACTAACCTTTTAATCTGACAAATAGAAAAAGAACGTGTAATAGGACATACACATGTTCGTTTCCATAAAACCTTACGTAGGAAATACCCACCTGGAAGTTACTGACATTTTTGATGAGCTAGAGACCAGTTAGTATTTTGCTCATAGGAGAGTATCATACTGCTTGCTTTAAGCGTCTTGTGTTGTGTGTTGTTTCCTAAACTTGTCCACAGTGAGAGAGATGTGATTCAGAAGCTGCTAATTAGCAGCATCGGATCAAATGATAGGATATCAAACAGATGATAAGAGTACCACCATAGGACAGAGGCAATAATACAGCAGTGCTGTCTGAAATGATCATCGTTGCTACTTGGAGTCTGTGCTGAAAGCAGAAAGTAGGTGCTGAAATTGGGATTTTCACATGCTGAAAAGCTCAAAAGAACACAACACTGAGACTGGAAATAATGTGTGCCGTGCAGTTGCACTAGTTTAGGAGCTTAGGAGCATAACCTCTGGTCTCCAGATACTCGTTTTGCCTCATTTCTGCAGCAAATGATACTTTTATGTTACGGGTGAGCCGTTCTGGCATTGTGTGTTCCTTAGGTGAGAATATCCAAGGAAAGGAAAGGATTTACTTCACATCTCGTACTAGCGGCAATCTGAGAAACCTGCCAGTAACAAACACATTCAGTGCAATTGAGCAAAAACCAACACTCTGTGTGTGTCTATAAATGAATAATTAATGAAAGAGCTGCTTCTAGTAAACACATGACACATCCAAGGGAAGTTGGCAGGCAGTGTTTCTCTTACCTGGCTGTCAGTATGGATACATATGCCTAATGTTAAACCAAGAATGATCACTTGCTTCAGGGCAGGGTGTAGATAGGAACCTTTTTTTCACTTTTCCGTTTCTAGTGGGTTCTTTAAAATATTTCTGCCTCTTCTCAAGCAGAGAAAACAATCATCTGCTGCTGCTGAAGGTAGGGCAAAAGACATCCTGTTTCATGCCATCAGCAGCTGAAAGTTCCTGGGAATTAAAAGCTTCAAGGAATCTTAATCCATCCCCAGATCTGGCCAGTGTAAAATGGGGAATGATTTTATCTATAGAAGGGGATTTTCTAGATTTACATGGATTAATATTTCTTCAGCTGTGTCATCTCCGAATGGCTTTTAGCTTTGAATTCATTCTAACTACACAGCCTTGTATGCGCTCAAAGGTCATATTTGAAGTTAGGACTTTGCTTCTTACCAATCAATATGATGTTTTGAAAGAAATTCATGAGTCACTCCCCACTCTTAAAAGTGACGAGAAGACATTAGAAAACATGTCCATTATAGAACTGATTTCAGCACTTGCTCTGCTGCTGCAGCTTCTTAAATTTACCGTTAAAAACTCCTTTTTGCAAGTAGCTGCCAGTGCTGACGCTGGGAGATGTCAGTGCCGATGAAGCAAACTGGACGTGTGTTTTTCCAGTGGCTCCTTGCAATATCGTATTGTATTTCTACCTTAGCGGATGCAGAAGCGCGTCAGTAATGGGACTTGAAAGTGTGTGAATTTGAAAGTGTAACCTGATTAGGAAATAAATGTTCTGTCCAGAGCTACTGCAGTCCCAGTAGCTTTTTCTTTTCCAGAAGCTTCCTGTAAGGTGTTTGGCTCAACTAAGTTTTCATTTAGTCTGTTCCAAACTACTGACTTTATTTCTCAGGCACAAAAATAGCAGAAAAGGGGCTGTGTGTGCATATGATGTTATGTATTGAGCCTAATGTTTAATTTGAAAGATGAATTTAGAATAAAAAGAGAGGCTGGAAATAGAGGAGCAGTACACGAGGCAAAGAATCCTCATCCAGCCCATGTACAGTTCATCCGTATGGCGGTTTCTTTACAAGGACGTAGAATTATTTCACTAGACTTATACCTTGTTCCAGAAAGGGGAACAGCTCTTTTTTTGGTGCTTCTTAGCATGTGTGATGTTTTTGCAGCTGGAACATCCTTTTCTTTTTAAATAGTTTAACGTGTTTCTGAAGAAAATGTATTTATTTTTAAAGAACTACTGGAAAACTTGCAGCATTTTACTTTGCCTGTTTCTGTTTATGAAAGCGGATGATAAAATACATTTTTGCATTTGAAGAGGGCTACCATGAGGGGGCACAAGTTGTGAAAGGCTAATGGTTTTCTCAGATTCTAGTCATTCAACTGGTTTAGGTGATACAGCTTTTTTATTTTTTTTATGAGATACTGGAATGTAGAAAAGTGTATGGAAGAATGGAGTGGGCCTTTTTATTTGCAGTTTCTTCCGACTTATTTGAGCCGTTTCACGTTCGCCTGGATCTCCTGATACAAATCTGTTGATCCAGCATGAGCTTTCCTGGAAGCCGGTACAGTACTGTGTAGGCAGAAGGGTCCTTAGTAATAAGTAAGTTTTAATAGAGAATAGATGTTTGAATCTGTGTGTTGGATGGGATTGTCAGAAACTAAGTAGCCAGCTCAGCGTAGATTTCATTGAGCATCCTCTGATGAACTTTATAAAGCAAATTACAATTTTTATATATATGTATGTGTTTATATTTATTCATAAATACATACATATTTGCTTTATATATGTGATGTGAGTCCAATCAAACATTTTAAACTCTTCCAGGCTATGTGGTATGTTGTATACAAACCAGATGCCTGCCTAAGTGCAAGGTGTCTGTCTGCATGTGATTGCCCTTCGGATGCAGCCACGCAAGGGGGAAAGATGTTTTCTCTACACCTTGTTTCCAAGGTCTGGGTGTGCAATAGGTACGTGGCATGAACAGTGAGATATGTTTGTGGCAAAGTGCAGTCTGCTAACCTAGTGCCACGTTGTCCTCTCCATGAACGGACACCCCCTGACTTCAGTACAGCCTATGCTTGGGCAAAAACGAACATGCCCAAGGCTCAGACTGAGATCAGGTTTAAGAGAGAAAATATCAGAGGCTATCAGCCAAACATAAGTTTGCATCCTTCTTTTCTTCACGGCAAGCAGCAACTCAGGGGTCTGACTTTGACAAACAGGTTTGTGGGTTACAACACAACAGAAAGTAGAAGTTCTTGTGAGCTATTCAGAGAGCTGTGATCAGTACGTATTTGTATTTTATGATGTGGATACTAGATCTGGGTCATTGTCTTGTTTTGTACAATTTAGAATCATTCCTGTTAGTATATCCCCAAACTTATTTATTTACATGTTTTTCTTCCCTAGCAGCCTGTCACCAATTAACTGGCCGTACAGTCTGGCCTCCCTTCTGCCCTCTTGTCCCTTGAAGCCACTTTATCGTGGATGCTCCTTTGTAGTGAAGAACTGAAATCTGGAACTGCACTTACTGCAGCACAGACCACCTCTCTGTGTACATCAGATGTACAGGATTGATTTTTGCTTTCATATTCTGCATGCCTGAGTATTTCACATACAAAAGCTAGTCATGACTGCCATTACGTTTGAACATGATGCTTCAGTTTGACCTCGCTACACATGAGCCATTATCCCTCCATTCTAGATGGTGTGTGAAGCTTTGCTTGTTTCAACTGAGAAACTTCCAGAGTAAATGAATACTTATCCATTTATGGTATTCTTTAAAGAAAGTGGGAACCCCGTGCATGCATCTAATGGTGGAATCCATGGAGGATCCTTTTTAAAATGTTGCTGTGTCGTGGCTTTCTCACGTTCATGAAAGCTGGCTAAATATTCTCATGGTCTGCAGTTGGCCTCCCCACTGCTTTTTAGCTTGTGCTTTAAGACACCCCCTTTTCTCCCTTATTGGCTTTTAGGAAGGTATCTGGCTTTGCTGCCAGTTCTCTGTTGTGAGCAGGTAACTCAGCAAAGTCTGCTTTCCTGAACCATTCTTGGAATGGTGGCTTCTACTGATATTTAGATGCTGCTAAACTTACTAGTAACAGTTTAATGTATATTATGTCTTACATGCCATAATGTGGTAATTGATGTTTTGGTTAACATGCAAAGCCTCATAATAACCGTGTGTGTTAAAAAAAAAAAAAAAAAAAGTTGGATTTTTACCAGCTGAAATGGAGGGAACAGTAACAATAATGTTTGATAATATGTGTTGGGATGTGACTTAATGTTCTTCCAGACTTTAATACGTTCCACATACAAAAGTAGTGCCTTAGGTTTAGCGGAGGGATAAGCTGTATTTTTACCATACTTTATTTTTTTAAGTCCTAACATTTCTAATGTTACTCAGATCCATTTGTTTTAAGGTGATGAAATATTTGGACAAGGGGAAGAGACAATTAGGAGTTAGAAATCAGGAAAGGCTTTCTGATTTCCTGGTGGCCGTTGGGCAAAGCATCCCCTTGCCAGCTGACCTGCTGAGCACATACAGATGGCACAGGGAGGAAGACCGAGCCTTGAAATGCTCTTCCCTTAAATCTGGATTTAGAAGACTTTAAATTACAAGAGCACTTGTGTCGGCACACTCTGCAGCGAAGAATTAG